ATCTGTGGCCAAAAAGGAAAACATTTGAAAGTGCTAGATATGTATGCCTTGTGTTCCTAGAAATTGTTCATAATTTATAAGCATAAGTTTTATGGCCAGAAGCTTGAGAGGGAGAAATGGTTCTATTGGTGAGAAGGGTTGTCAAAGGGAGTTTCCTTTACATAGGTTACCTACCCACAATTTCTTTATTGGTATTTGGGGAGTTGTTGTAGTGAGACATAAACTTTGACTTCGGAAGAGAGGGGCTCAAAAGAGGGGACAGACCTGTTATGTTGTAGCACTGTTTATTCCTTTTGAAGCAGTTTTAGACTTCTGCAAAGTTATGAGAGACATATTTTAATTTTTATGTTCATAGATAGTTTGTTGTATGCATCTCCATTTTTCTGAGCTCCCCTAATACAGATTCACTGTTCTGCAGTGTGTGAGTGGGGAAGTTCTATTCCTATACATTTCTGTTTGGTTTCCCCAGGGTTTGGATGAGGGAGGGCTCAAGCTGATTCAGTTACTTGTCAAGAGAGATTCTAGATATACTGACCTTGTCCCTTTTGATGCCATTAAACTGCTGGCAAAAAGATTACGTAAGGAAAATTGTTGCACACAGTGGAGAACAAGCAATTACTTCATTTTCAGTGACAGCACTAGATTTTGAAATTAATCACAGAAATAGGAATGCCCTGACTGAATTTAGATCTTCTACCCAGCTGCTGACACAACTATTTTTTTTTAATGCTAGGATTTTCCCTTTTACGGAATTACAAATTACTGCAAATGGTGATTGAACTGAAACAAAGCCAACAGCTTCCAAGGTGCTTCCATTGAACTGGAAAGCATTTTGCGAGCTAAAAAAGTAGAATGTTGAAAGTACATGCTCTGCAACTGCTTTGCTAATTGGAAAATCTTCTGCACTTTTCAAGTACAAGTAATAACGATGCTAGCACTTAATGCTCCTCCTCTTCAAATTACTTTACAAATAGTCACTAATTAATACTCACAACTCAACTGTGTTGGCAGCACATATACTAAAATTGGAATGATACAGAGGAGATTAGCATGGCCCCTGCGCAAGGATGACATGCAAATTCGTGAAGCGTTCCATATTTTTGCTTAATAACTATTCTCCAACCATTTGGGTTGGTCTAATAAAAGATATCAAATTCACCCAAGGAACCTTGTTTGCCTATATCCTTAGACCAACATGGCTACAACGTAAACCCCTGGTAGATATTACACACTTTTACAGATTGGAACTCTGAGTTCTGTTTGCAAAGTGAGAATTACAAAGTAAAAGTACAAACCTGAGCACTATATACCTCCAATCCTCATGAGGTTTGTGAGAGCCATTGAGCATAGAAATCCTTCTTAAGAGTTTTCTTTAAAACTGACTTTTCTCTGTGACTCATGGAAAAATATGACCATGACCACACAAACTGCTACTATGATGTTGTGACATGACATGCGTCATCACTCAGAGATTCTAAAAAAAGTCTTCAGACTCCACTGTATCTTAAGAGGTGAGACCAAATCCCTGCCTCAAGTAATTTACCATTGAAATTTTTTATGTAGAAAAATGAGTGATGATTAGAGTAGAGAGTGAGGACAGACAAACAGATTACAGTAATAAAATCAAATGAAGAATTGATATAGGTATGTGCATATAGTTTTGGACCTAAATGGGTACAGATTTGTGGCTTAGAATTAGAGAAAATTAGGATTGGAGGCCATCTAGTCCAGCCCTCTGCTCAGTGCAGGACCATCCTCAATTATATTATCCCAACCAAGGCTTTGTCTTAAAAACCTCCAAGGGTGGAGATTCCACAGCCTCTCTGGGTAACCTGTTCCAGTGCTTTTCTACCCTCCTAGTGAGAGTTTTTCCTAATATCTAAATTAAACTTCCCTTGCTGCAACTTGAGACTGTTGCTCCTTGTTCTGTCATCTGCCACCGATGAGCACAGTCTAGCTCCATCCTCTTTGGAGCCACCTTCAGGGAGCTGAAGGCTTACATTATGTGCAAAATGCATTGTCTCTCTTTCTCTGGTAGCACTCACCTCGGTTGGACACTCAATGACTGTAGTAGTACTTGGAACCCACCGCAATGGGCCCTGTGCATTGTAAACCTCAATAGTGTAAATCAGGGTGGCAATTATTTTGCTTTAGGCATTTGGGTGAGCTATTGAGGGCTTGGATGGAGGGTAGGGGAGGGGGGTACTGGCCTGGCCAGGCACAATCGGCGGTGGGGAGGCAGAGCACTGACCTGGCCCAGTGTGACAGGGGGAAGAGGGCAGTTGATGATCCTATCTGGTCTGGGCCTGTCTGCCCTGCACCCACTGCTGGGAGCACCAGATGGGATAGGCAGGCAGGGTCTCCATGGAAACCAGCTGGGACCCACGCAGGCAGGGTGTGCTCGGCCAGGCAAATGGGATGGAGTCGCAGGTGGGCAGGGAGTGGTGTCCAGGAGTGGGATGGGCAGGCGGGGGGGCCTGGGATTGTGATCACAGGGCAGTGACAGCATGGGGCTGGGGCCTGGGAAAGAGCCATGATCCACTTCCTCTATGACAGGGACACGTGTGAAGCAGATTGCAGTTCTGCCCCAGGCCCTGGCCCCATGCTGTCACCACTCTGTGATCTGGATCCTGGCCCCAGCCCCAGCCCCGGCCCTGCCCGCCCATCCCGCTCCTGGATGCCACTCCCCGCCCATCCACAGCCGCATCCCATCTACCCAGCCAAGCGCACCCTGCCCATGGGGGTCCCAGGCCAGTCTCTGTGGAGACCCTGCCTGCCCCCTGCCCACTCCATCTGGTGCCCCTGGCAGTGGGTGTGGAGTGGACAGGCTAAGGAGGCGGGCCGGGGGCGTGGGGGGG